ATACAAAGAATCCCAAAACCCGCCCTAGAGGAACGGGGTTGCAGTATAGAAATACTGCAGTTGGGATGGAGGCCATTTTGGCGGGGGAGGTTGCCGGGGGCAGGGAGCGGGGGTGGGGGTGGGGGTGGCGTGCGGCATTTGGAAGCTGGTGTTCTGGGTGCTGTGCCAACCAGGGACTCCACGGGACCACTGGGCATTACACAGATACGATCGACTCCAGACGTGGACACGGCTCTCCCCAGGCTGTATACCTCACCTACATCCTCACTTCTTTTGCTTGAGCTTCCTATTGTTTGCACAGTTGCTGGGAAATTACATCCTAAGTGACTGTACAGTTTGTCTTTTTACAATGACAGGTGACTTTCCGTTTGGGCGTATCATTTAGGGGCCAGCGAGGTGGCCCCAGTGGGCGAAGGCACTTGCTGCTAAAGCTGATGGGCTGAGTTCGATCCCTGGGGCACACATGGTGGATGGAGAGAACCAACCTCTCTACAAGTTGTCCTCTGACCTCCGCACATGTGCCCTGGCGTGTGCAAACCCACACACATACCTATGTGCTCAAATAAGTAACTGCAGTGATTTAATAATAATGATGATGATAATAATAATAATAATAATAATAATGGGCGGTGGTGGCAGAGCCAGGAGGATCTCTGTGAGTTCAAGGCCAGCCTGGTCTCCAAAGCCAGTTCCAGGAAAGGCACAAAGCTACACAGAGAAACCCCGTCTCGAAAAACCAAAAAAAAAAAAAAAAAAAAAAAAAAACGTTTAATGAGACATGCCGGCCTTGTCTGTTCTGGAGCTTTGCACAGTAGGACTCACACAGTCTATATGCTTTGCTTCTGCCTTCTCTCTGCTCCCCCCGAGATACTACACTGCACCCTTCCTTTCCCGTTTTCTTTCTGAGACAGGCTTCTATGTAGTCCAGGCTGGCCTTGAACTCACTATGTAGCTGAGGATGACCTTCAACTCCTGATCCTCCTGTCTCTGCTACTCGAGTGCTGGGAATGGAACTGACCTAACCCACCAGGTCACACACACAGAGGCCCGTGGTGCCAGAGGCAGGTTGGTGCTCTCCCAGCGGCTCTCCAGATGTTTCCTAGAGCCTCGTTTCACAAACACCCCTGTTAAGGGTGGACCCGGAGCCCGGCACGCTCTCAAAGCGGGCCAGCCTTGGCTGGAACTCCCTCCTGGGATCTTTTCCTGGCACACAGCCTGGTTTTTGTCTTTGTTTTGTTGTCTTGCTATTGTGAGACAGACGATGCCTGGCCCCAGCCAGGCTGCCAACTTTCTGCCTCAGCTGCCTGATGCTGAGGTAACAATCGTGCACCCCAACACACAGCTAGATCTTTTTTTTTTTTTTTTTTTAAAGTTTTCCACATTTTGTTTATTTTGTTACGGTGATAGGGATTGAACCCAGGGCCTTGTACATGCTAGGCAAGGTCCCTTCCACTGAGCTACATCTTCAACCCTCATCTACACTTGCTCTTATTTTAAATATAGTGTCGTTTATTTATTCTTTGAGAATTACAGCATTCATACAATGTATTTCAATGGTATGGACTTGCTAATCCTCCCCGGATTCTTCTACAGGCCCCTCTTAACTTTATGTGTTTATTTTTTTTCCCTTGTCCTTTGAGACAGGGTCTCACTATGTAGCTCTGGCTCGTCTCAAACTCGAAGAGATCCTCCTGCCTCTGCTTCCTGAGTGCTGGGAGTAAAGGTGTGCGCCACCACATCCAGCTTTCTATCTTTTTTTTTTTTTCTCTTTCTTAAGTATCCCACTGAATCTGATTACTATGGCCCATATACACATAGTATGGGGGCCAGTTTATACTATGTCCATTTAGCAAAATAATAGTACATTTACCCTTGGAACCTGTAAGCGCTCAGTCATTGGTTCTTGGCCAGATTCATAGTACCAAGAGCAACCCTTACATCCAGTCAGAAAGTGGTTGATTACCCCCATAATATTCATGCCACTAATGTATCCAAGGGCCTATCTTTTTTTAATTTATTTATTTTTATTTTATGTGCATATGTGTTTTGCCTACATGTGTGTCTGTGTGAGGGTGTTGGATCGATCCTGGAGTTACAAACAGTTGAAGCTGCCATGTGGGTGCTGGGAATTGAACCCAGGTTCTCTGGAAGAGCAGCCAGTGCTCCTAACCACTGAGCCATCTCTCCAGCCCCATTTAGTTTCTTTTTGAGACACGGTCTGGCTATGTACCCCTGGAGGGCCTAGAACTCAGAGATTCACCTGCTTCTGCATCCAGAGTGCTGGGATTAAAGGTGTGGGTCTCCATGCCTGACATCAGGCTTCTTATTTACCTCTGGGAGAAGTATTATCCCTGTGTGTGTGTGTCTGTCTGTCTGTCTGTCTGTCTCTCTGTCTGTCTGTCTGTGTCTATGTCTATGTCTTGTGTTTGGAAACAGAGTCTCTCATTTTGCCTGGTACTTGGTGAGCAGGTTGGCAAGCCAGTGAGTCCCAGGGATTCACCTGTCTCTGCCTTCCCAGTGATAAGATTAGAAGCTTGTGCCACTATGCCTAGCTTTCCTACGTGGGTTCTAGGGATTGACCTCTGGTCATGCTCACCCAAAAAGCATTGAGCCCTCATCTCCCCACTGACCCATCTCTCCATCCCTCAACATAGTGTTTAATACGCAGCCCAAATGTGCTCTCCTGGGTGCCTTTCTACCTGTCTGGCTGGCCTGAGGGTTCCTTGGAAGAAGCATGGTCCTGAGCGGACTCACCTTCGCTTCCTCCGACTCTGTGTCCTAGGGCTATGATCTTTGGCCTTGGGAAGGGGGATGGATAGAGTGACCGAATCAACTATGTTCCGCCTTGAGCTTCATGACCGTTATCTAGTCAGCTGGTCCTGGTGTCTCTGGTCTCCTTGATTCTGTGGTTACAACGGGAAGGGTCACTTTTCACTAGGAGACAGTGTGACGCCAGAGGCCTGCCTGATCCAGTCACTGTTCCCTGTCAACTCTTACCTAAACCTTCCGGTGGCCCATGAGGTGGACGCTGTGTTTGGTCCACGGCCAAGACCTCCTGTGTCACCAGGAAAAAAGGGACGATGACTGTCGCTGCCTCAAAGGGCTGTGTAGCTGGCCAGGAATGGAAAGTGCAGGACAGAGGGCAAAGCCTAGCACAGGGCACCCAGGGACACTCCGGCTGCCGCCGCCGCCGCCAAGGCCCCGAAATGCCTCTCTGTGTGTGCCAGAAATTCAGGCTGTGGTTGAATGTCGGCCACAGGTGGCCACAACTGTAGGAAGGTGTGACGTGGCTTCTCCTAGGTGGGGATTCATACTGAGCTGACGATTTACTTTCCCTGAGTCCTGTGGAGGACAGGCTAGACCCAGCCATGGTTTCAGTGATGGGGCTGGTGGTTTTGTTTTGAGACAGAGTCTCATTCATCACGTATCTCAGGCTGGACCTCAAAGTTACCATCTCCCTGCTTCAGCGTCCCAAGTGCTGGGATGACAACCCTGTACCGCCATGTCTGCTTTGTATGGCTAGGGACCGAACCCACGGCTGCCTGCGTGCTAGGCAAGCACTGAGACACGCCCCCAGCCCTGCTTTGTGTGTGTGTGTGTGTGTGTGTTTTGTCCCTCAAAGCTGGTGACTGTGAAGAATCCAAGCCACGCCAGGTGGTGGAGGTACACACCTTTAATCCCAGTACTTGGGAGGCAGAGGCAAGGGGATCTTTGTGAGTTCAAGACCAGCCTGGTCTACAAAGTGAGTTCCAGGACAGCCAGGGCTACACGGAGGAACTCTGTCTCTGGAAAACAAAACAAAACAAAACGAAAAGAACATGTCTTATGACACTGGCTTCCTTCCCCTCGAAGCACAGAGCCCATGTTTCCCTGGTTCAGTAAAAGCCCCACAAGGCTGGGGACAGTCTGTCTCATTCCCACTGCTCTCTGCCACTCCTGGGACCTGACCTGTCAAGAGTAGCTGCTGACAACATGCTTGGTGAATGGATGAATGAATGAAGGAAGGAAGGAATGAATTAATGAGTGAATAAAGGAACAAAAGGATTAGTAAAGGAACAAGTGAAATGATGAATGAAAATGAAAAAGCGAAATGATGAATGAACGAAAATAAATGAAAAAAAATGAATGAATGTAAATGAAAAAATGAATGAATAGCTTCATGAATGAGTGACAGGATGAATGGACGTGCCAACGTCACCAGTCACAACTGCTTTGGTGCAGGGCTGCCGTCCTAGGAGCACATTCCCTGAGGAGCACTGTCTTAGCCAGCGTTCTGTGTGGCTAGGAAGAGATACCATGACCGAGACAACTCTTATAAAAGAAAATACATAACTGGGGGCTTGTTCACAGTTTTCAGAGGCCTAATCCGTTATCCTCATGGCGGGGAGTATGACAGCGAGTACCGTGGGCATGGTGTTCCAGGAGTAGCTGAGACCTTACATCCTGATCCACAGGCAGAGAGAGAACTACCCTGGGCCTGGAGTGGGCTTGTTTGTTTTGTTTTGTTTTTTGAGACAGGGTTCTCTGTGTACCCTAGCTGTCCTGGAACTCTCTCTGTAGACCAGGCTGGCCTCGAACTCACAGAGATACACCTGCCTGTCCCTCTAGAGTGCTGGGATTAAAGAGGAGCACCACCACCACTTGGCTTTGGAGTGAGCTTTTAAAAGCGCGAAGTCCACCCCTAGCAACACACCCCCTTCAACAAGGCCACACCTCCTCCAAGGCCACACCCCCTTCAACAAGGCCACACCCCCTCCAACAAGGCCACACCCCCTCCAACAAGGCCACACCCCCTAATCCTTCCAAACACTTCACCAACTGGGGACTAAGTGTGCAAACATGTAAGCCCGTAAGAGCCATTCTCTTTCAAATCACCACAGCCACCTTTCCTGACTTGCCTCGGGGGCCCTTGGCACACAGGCCAGTCTCGGGCAGCTGTTGTGAGCCGTAGTGGGGAAGGAAGCCCGTCCTTATGCTCCTCTCTCTGTCTCTCCCGGCAGAACGTCCGCATAGACCCCAGCAGCCTGTCCTTCGGGATGTGGAAGGAGATCCCGGTCCCTTTCTACTTGTCCGTCTACTTCTTCGAGGTGGTCAACCCCAACGAGGTCCTAAAGGGTGAGAAGCCGGTGGTGCGGGAGCGCGGACCCTATGTCTACAGGTGAGGCCAGGCGGGGTCGGGGAGGGCTGTGGTGGTGGGGAGGAAGGTCTGCTGTGTTGAGCCTTGGAGAATGCTCCGGAGGTGGGCCAGGCAGAGAAGAGGGAGGCCATCATGGATGACCATTTCTTTATGGAGTGATGCTGTGGGCCCGGGCTGACGAGTGCTGACATGCGCCGTGTATGTGTGTTTATTGGGGGGGGGGGCGGGGGCGGGGCACAGAGGGCACAAAAGGGGAGAGATGGCTGCTATGGAGTCCGAAAAGTCAGACAGTGGTGTGGAAATGAAGCCAGTTAGCATGGCACCTAAGAAGAGGGCCACAAGCCGGGAGGGGACAGAGAGCATGGAGGGGCCTTGTGTCTTAGTTGACGTGGCCTGTGTGGGCCTGTGTGAAGACTTGTGACTTCAAGGTTGGAGGGGAACATGTGGCCCTGGAACAATGGAATGAGCAGTGCAAAAGTCCTGAGGCAGGAGATTGGTGGCATTGGGGAACAGTGAGGAAGCCAGCTTATGGGACTTTGGGGCCTGGGCTTACCTGCCAGCAACTCTCTCCTTGGTTTCCTGTGGGTGCAGCCACCTGCTGGGGTGGGAGTGTTATTGTTCCACCCTGCAGATGCGAAAACTGAGGCCCCAGAGGTTTTTGCATTCCGTGGCACACGTCCCAATCCTGGGCTCTCATGGTTGAAACTATGGACTCTTAAGAGTGGCTGCCTGGTCCTCTCCCCTTGGGCAAGGGGCTTTACTTCTGTAGGGCTGTTTTCCCGTCTGTGAGATGGAGAAACCTACCGTGGGGGGGCGGGGGGTTCAAGGACCAGGTGAGATGGTTAGTTTGAGCCTCTTAGTTTATCGTGTGGCCTGTAGTAAACTCTCAGTAAATGCTGGCTGGGTGGGTGTCAGCTTGGTGCTGGGTGCTGGTTGTCAAGTGGGAGGGGGGTGTGTGGGGACTTGGGGTGCTCTCCAGAGGGGTTCAGAGAACCTTGTGGTGGGTGAGGGAGAGCAGAGAAGGGTTCATTGGTGGCGGCAGTGTCTTGCCACGGGCGGACGCTGGGGTATATAGACAAGCTTGGCCTTGGTACTGTTGGGTATCAGTGGCTCCCAGGGTGTGCTGGGAGCTGATGGGGGCATCCACGCGGCCTCACACACCCAGCTGATCCAGTGTCTCCCCGCAGGGAATTCAGACACAAGGCCAACATCACCTTCCACGACAACGACACAGTGTCCTTCGTGGAGCGTCGCAGTCTCCATTTCCAGCCCGACAGGTCCCGAGGCTCGGAGAGTGACTACATTGTACTGCCTAACATTCTGGTGCTGGTGAGGCTGTGGCCCCGTGCCCACCCCGTGCCCACCCCGCTGTCTCCCCGCTGTCTCCGCGGTGACCGCCCCATCCTTCTCACTGCCTTACTTCCCACCTGAGACTCTGGGCCCGCCATCGTGGTCCCTGACGAAGCCTGAGGGTCGGCAGTGCCACCGGGGACCAGTGTGGCAGGGTCACCTGATCTGGGCAGGTGGGAGTCAGAGAGAGCAGACATTTATTTATGGAGTACAGGCTTAGGAGTTGCTGGGTCAACCGCCTCGGTGCATGCTGGGACCCGGTCAATGCGGAGCAGTCCCAGCTGTCTTGGGGAGAAGGCAAGAGTGAGATCAGGAAGGACATTTACACAGAGGGGTCAGGAGGACCCACCCCCCACCCCCCACCCCTGCCATGGCCGAAGTCCCAGGCACCAATTGGGCCAGCCTCACCAGGCCAGGGGCGGATCCCATGGTCTGATTTTCATATTTTCTGGAAGATTCTTTTGATTCCCCCTCCCTACCCCTGGCCATAGGAAATTGTCAGAAACACCAGTTAGGTGCTGGCTGGCTTTGTCCCTCAGCTTCCCTGCCTGCCAACCCCAGGTCTGTTGTCATTGACGTCCCCAAAGACCGATGGGGCTGGAGGGAGAATTTTTGTTTTTGTTTGTTTGTTTGTTTGTTTGTTATCGTTATCATTCTCTTGAGACAGAATCTCACTGTGCAGCCCTGGCTGTCCTGCAAATCACTCTGTAGACCAGGCTGACTTTGAACTCACAGAGATCCACCTGTCTTTGCCTCCTGAGTGCTGGGATTAAAGGTGTGCGCTACCACACCTGGCACATGGCTCCTTTTTTTGTATATTAAAACACAACCACAACCCATGCTGGGCCAGTGGGTAAAAGATGCCTGCCGGTAACCCTCATGACCTGAGCTGGATCCTCTCCAGGACCCACATGACTCCCACAAGTTGTCCTTTGGCCTCCATACATGTGCTATGGCATGCTCTCCCACCCCCGCCAATAAACATAATAAGAACCCTGCATTGATTACTAATAATGAAGGGGACCTGTGAGGGGGGCCGGGGCAGGAGGGGGCAGCACATGGAAAGTTCAGCCATGCATCGCCCCGGAGGCACAGGTGACTTTTGGTTGAGCAGCCTTTGGAAAAACCTTGGACCCAGATGCATGCTGCAGAGGAAAGCCAACACAAAAACTGTAAAAACTTGGGCTGGAGAGATGGCTCAGAGGTTAAGAACACTGCCTGTTCTTCCAGAGGTCCTGAGTTCAATTCCCAGCACCCACGTGGTGGCTCACAACCACCTGTAGTGGGAACTGATGCCCTCTTCTGACATAAAATTGTACATGCAGATAGAACATTCATATACATAAAATAAAAACTGCCGGGCGGTGGGAGCGCATGCATTTAATCCCAGCACTCGGGAGGCAGAGGCAGAGGCAGGCGGATCTCTGTGAGTTCAAGGCCAGCCTGGTCTCCAAAGCGAGTTCCAGGAAAGGGGCAAAGCTACACAGAGAAACCCTGTCTCGAAAAACAAAACAAAACAAAAAACTGTAAAACTCAACTGCACTCAGGTCACTTTGAACCTGGGTGGGAGCAGATGTCCTGGACTCCCAGGTTGGGAGGAGACATGAGAAGTGGGGTGGAATCCCCATGAAGAGACTGAGGCAGGAGGATGCTGAGTTCTGCATCAGCCTGGACTACATCTTGAGACCTTGTGTTAAAAAAACCTAGAAGAGGGGGCTGCAGGAGGTTGGGGAGACTTTCTCAATGCGTTCCGTTCCTGGGCTCCTGTTACTGATAGCGTGGGGTCCGCATCCTAGTTATAAACAGAGCACCCGGATCTTCGCTGGCCCTCTTCGCTGGCAGGCCTGCTCCTAACCTTGGCCACAGCCTCGACTGTTCTGAGGGTGCATGCCCCAGCTCTGCAGAGTATCTCCTGCCGGGCTCTACAGTCACAGTGGCTGAGGAGGGCTTCTGAATGCCAGGCCTGAGCTTTGGGACTGCCTTGGAGTTCACTTAGTCTGAACCCTTTGCATGTTCTCCAGTACATATGGCCCTGGCAACAAGGACCAGAGAAGGGTCCACACTGAGGGCCCGGACTCCTTGCCTGATACCTGGTTGAAGGTAGCAGAAGGGAGACACGTCCATCTCCCTAGCCCCATGTCCTTGGCTTTGCAGGGTGGCTCAGTAATGATGGAGAACAAGCCTGCAGGCCTGAAGCTGATGATGACCTTGGGGCTAGCCACCCTGGGTCAGCGTGCCTTTATGAACCGGACCGTCGGTGAGATCCTGTGGGGCTATGACGATCCCTTCGTGAATTTGATCAACAAATATTTCCCAGACATGTTCCCCATCAAGGGCAAGTTCGGCCTGTTTGTTGAGGTAAGTGTCTTCCGTCCACACAAACAGTTGTGAAAGCCGGCTGTTGGGGGGAAGGCCCTAACGCAAACCGGTTTAAGCAAAGTCAGGAAATTATCAGCTCATATAACAGAAAACACCAGTGTTGCATTCAGGGGTGGCTTGATCTGGTTCAAGGGATGTGTGACTGGGGGTTAGCTTAGAAAATTGGAGGCTTTGCTGGAGGAGGTGGAGGACTGAGTTCTCGAGAAGCATACCTCAGATGTCCCATCAGTATGACTCAGAGGTGCCTGCCTAGTCTCCATCTTGACCTTAAGTAACCTGAGCTAAGATCTGACCTCTGACCCCTGCTCCGGCTCAGCTTTCTTCGAGGGAATCTGCTGATGAGGTAGGATTGCAGTGAGGGTCAGTGACATGACCCAGTCACCCACACCTCCAGGACCTGTTATACGGAGCTTAGATGAAATTTACTGCTCAGCGGTTAAAAGGACTGGTTGCTCTTCAAGAAGACTCTAGTTCAATTCCCGGCACCCACATGGTGGCTCACAGCCATCTGTAGCTCCAATTCCAGGGTATCTGATGCCCTCTTCTGGCTTTCTTTGGCTCTGTATGCATGTGGGACACAGATAAAACATGTAGGCAAAAAGACTCATACACATAAAATAGAAATACATACAGTCTTGTGGAGAGCAGACTATGGATAAGGCACCGCGTCTCCCAGTGACCAGGTGAGGATCCTGTGGGGTGAACATGTAACAAGATGCTGAATGCCCAAATGGTAGCGCTTTTACAATCAGGAGCCCTGGGTAAAGCCCTGCTCCTGCACCTGCCCTTCCCACCACCTCCCACCCACCCACCCATACAGACCCCTATCCCTCTCTCTTCTCCTTGCAGCTGAGGTTGGGGTCCTGGGTGGGGCTCCTGAGGGGACAGGCAAGGAGACAGGAGCAGAGCACACTCCATCAAGCTCTGCTCCCCAGCCATTCTGCTTAGCTGATCTGAGATTGACAGCTGTTGCTTCCGTGACCTCTGATCCATTCTACCATTGCTGGCCCTTCTGTTGAGCTTCTAGATCCTTCCATGGCACTCTTTCCCTGGGGAATTTGTATTAAATTCTTTCTTCCCTTCTCCCTTCCTTCCTTCCTTCCTTCCTTCCTTCCTTCCTTCCTTCCTTCCTTCCTTCCTTCCTTCCTTCCTTCCTTCCTTTCTTTCTTTCTTCTTTCTGGTTTGCTTGTTTGTTTGTTTTGAGACAAGGTCTCTCTATGTAGCTCTGGCGATCCTAGAACTCACTATGTAGACCAGGCTGGTCCCGAACTCACGGAGATCTGCCTGCCTCTGCCTCCTGAGTGTTGGGATTAAAGGTGTATGGCACCACTCCCCACTTAATGCCTTTTTTTTTTTTTCTTTATTAGCTGCTGGGCCTGATGGAGTAGGCTTGTCATCTCTGTATATGGGAATATGAGGCAGGAAGATGGCAGGTTCAAAACCAGCCTGGACAACTTAGTGAGACCCTGTCTCAAAATGTGAAGTTTTAAAAAAAAAAAAAAAAAAGAGGGCTGGGGGTAATGGATGGTTCAGTGGACAAGCAGTTGCCCGGCAGCATGTGCAAGGCCCAGCAGAGGTCCTGTCCTCATCACTGAGTCGGTACGGCAGTGAGGGGACATGTCTACAGCGGAAGGACAGGTGGGCTTGTGCCTGTGTCCAGGTCTCGTGCCCCCAACCTAGGGCTAAGGGTACCGTTCCCTGCCTTGCCTGCAGATGAACAACACAGATTCCGGGCTCTTCACTGTGTTCACGGGCGTCCAGAACTTCAGCAGGATCCACCTGGTGGACAAATGGAACGGGCTCAGCAAGGTGAGCAGGAGCGGAGACAGTCCCCAACCCCTGAAGCAGGGACTAGGTTGGGGACAAGCCTTAGGGGATGGTAAGTGCTCTGGAGAGGGCATCGGGGTCACCTGAGGACCTCCCAGGTCCAGGAACTGTCCCTTGAGTGCTTCTGCTGGGAACTCCTCACTCTTCTGTTCCTGAGTTTTCGTTGACCAGGCAGACAGGAAGACATTCCCATAAAGATAAGACAATGGAGACCCGGCACCTTGTCCGTGCCCGCCCGGAAACCCCCCAGCACTCTTTGCGGGACCCAGCTTCCTGGCCGTTGACCAACCACCCCGCCTCTGTGTATCCAGAGAAATGTGTTTTCCTTCCTTCTTTGAATACACACAAATCCTGTGTGGGCTGTTTTGCAGCTGGCTCTTCTGCTCAGGACATCTTTGTGTATATTGTGTTTTTGTATTGTTATGTTTGCCAGTGTCTGAAGATGGAGCCCAGCCCCTGTGCATCCTCTACTGGGGCTCTGCCATTGAGCCATGCCCTTAGGCCCTCACTGGGCCATTCTAGGTACAGCTGCTACCACTGAGCCACACCCCAACTCCTCACTGAGGGATTCTAGGCAGGGGCTCTACCATTGAGCCACACCCTCCAGCCCCTCACTGGAGGATTCTAGGCAGGTGCTCTACCCACTGAGCCACACTCCCAGCCCCTCACTGGGGGATTCTAGGCAGGTGCTCTATACTGAGCCACACCCCAGCCCCTCACTGGGGGATTCTAGGCAGGTGCTCTACCACTGAGCCACACTCCCAACCCCTCACTGGGGGATTCTAGGCAGGTGCTCTACCACTGAGCCACACCTTGTGTATGTTGACTTCTGCTGGGGGAGGGTGCAGGAAGATGCGGGCAATATGCCCATTGTACAGATGACTTAACTGAGTCCCTGACAATGCTGTGTGTTCAGGCCTCACTGTGGGGAGCAGGAAGCTGGGCTGCATGCTCTGTCTATATAGCCTGTTCTGTGCCAGGGGTTGGATATGATATGTCTGCACCGGGGCATGTATGAGGTGCAGGCCTTGGCTGTCCCTCGAGGCTGCATCTTGTCCTGTCCTCCCACAGATCAACTATTGGCATTCGGAACAGTGCAACATGATCAACGGGACTTCTGGGCAGATGTGGGCCCCATTCATGACACCCGAGTCCTCGCTGGAATTCTTCAGCCCCGAGGCCTGCAGGTAACGCTTGCGTGGGCACGCCCTACCTCCTGAACAGGAGAATCTGCCTCTAAGATGATTTAGGGTCCACTCAGGTAGCTCCTGGGGTGAGCACTGCCTGGCCCTTGGTGTCCTATGGCTCAGGTGTTTTTCTTGTCAGAGGTGGCTTGCGGGGGTGGAAGGATTTATTTTGGATTTCGGTTGCATGTGGATTTGCACCTTGAAGGGTCTTCCGTCTCCCCCAACAGCGCCCCCCGCTGGCGTCCAAGAGTGCAAACACGTTGCCTGGCTGCCTTGACGGTTTCATGGGTGCCATAGGCTTCTGCAGATCCCAGAGGGGCTGGGAGTGGGTGGTTGCTGGGGACTCAGTCGTGATGGTGGTGGTGAGAGGTGATGTTAGGAAAAGGTCAAGGTCTCAGGGGAGCTGTGAAGTGGAGCCGGAGGGCTGGGGTCTCCTGGAACCTGGACCTTTAACTGCTGGGCGCAGTTCCCTCTCAGTCTACCGATCTCCAACTCCCCTGCCTCAGAGGCGTGCTGGGGTCTTGTAGCTTGGGCTCCACCACCCCAGGGTCCCGACTGTGGCCTGGGAAGACATGGTGGGCCTCTTGAGTCCATTCCCAAGTGGCACGCTAGCCAGTGTTCCATTCTGGCCACGCTGGAGGTGACCTTGGCCTGGGGACTCACTGGGCTGACCTTTGAGCCCTCTGCCTCTCTAGCTAACACAGACAATGACGCTCTGTGCCCGGTGTGAACAGAGCCATGATGGGCTGAGCAGAGTCTGTGCATGGGTGCCTGCGGCCCGTGGGGTAACTTTCCAAAGCAGAGCTTGGTTATTTTAGAAAATGTATTACTATTTTTTTAAGTTAGGTGTATCTGTGTGGGCATCGTGTGTGCAGGTGCTTGTGGGGGCCAAAAGAGGGCGTCAGATCACCTGGAGCTTGTGTTATAGGTGGTTGTGAGCTGCCCAAAAAAGTGGGTGCTGGGAATTGAACCTAAGTCTTCTAGAAGAGCCGTAAGTGTTCTTTACCATTGAACCGTCTCTCCAGCCCATTTATTTGTGTGTGTGTGTGTGTGTGTGTGTGTGTGTGTGTGTGTGTGTGCTGCTTATAATAGAACCCAGAGCCTCGCATACACTAGGTAAGTGGTCTGCCCCTGAGTTATATGTCCAGACCCCAGATAGGATTGCAGATTTAGAGAAAACATCTTCAACCCAGCCTCTGTCTGTGACGGAGATGATTGAGACAGCTCAGGGCTGGGGAGAGGCTCGGTCAGTAAAGTATTCACCATTAGCGAGAGGACCTGGGTTCAGATCCCCAGAACTCGGCAGCAGGGTGTGCCTAGGAAGCCAGAACTGCTGAGATGGAGGCAGGAAAGGACTGGAAAGCCATCCAGCCTGGCAGGATGGATGAGCTCCAGATTCACGGAGAGACCCCGTCTCAAAAAATAATGTGGAGTGTGATTGAAAAAGAAATCCAGGCCGGGTGGTGGTGGCGCACTCCTTTAATCCCAGCACTCGGGAGGCAGAGCCAGGCAGATCTCTGTGAGTTCGAGGCCAGCCTGGGCTACAAAGTGAGTCCCAGGAAAGGCACAAAGCTACACAGAGAAACCCTGTCTCGAAAAACCAAAAAAAAAAAAAAAAAAAAAAAAAAAGAAATCCAGTGTCAGTGTCTGACCTACAACATACATGAATCCACACCCCGCGCCCCGCGCGTGCACACACACACACACACACACACGTACACACGTAAACACACCCATAGACATACAAGTATCTGTGACCCAGAGAGAAAGGAGACAGTGAGTTCCCCTCTCAGGTTTGAGCTTTCAGGACAGGGACTCGTTGTCCCTGTGGCTTTTGAACCTGTGGCCAGCAGTGTTCTGTGTGTGTGTGGGGGGGGGGGGTTGTGGCTGAGAGGTGTGGCATTTGCTGCTTGGTTTACCCGAGGCCCTGGGTTCAGCCAGGTTAGTGTTTCTGATGAGCCTGGGAGTGAGCAAGATGCTCAGCTCAGTGCTGGGAAGCAAAGATGAAGCTGGGAAGGAGCCTGGAATCCCACAACCCCTCTCAAGGTCACCCTTAACCATTGGATCCCACTTTGTCTGTCTGTTTTTTGAGACAGGGTCTTGGCTGTGCTGGAGCTAGCCTGTAGACCAGGCTGTCCTGGAACTCACAGACATCCGCTTGCCTCTGCCTCCCGAGTGCTGGGACTAAAGGCATGCGCCACCACTACCTGGCATAGACCCCACTTTTTAAACACTCCCCCAATCCAGCAGCACCCCCCGAGACCACCCCTTGACCACAGGGCTCTTGGGAGGCACTCCTCCACACCCCAGCCAGCTGCTCTCTGTGTTTCTCTTTTGCCCATCCCTGGAACCATTGCTCCACCCTCTCCTCCGTATGCCCTCTTCTGGAATCCTGTGAGAGCGGGATGCATGCAGGCTGGGTGCCCCCTTTCCTCAACCCTTCAGGGGGTGTTCTCCAAAAACGAAGGTATTTTCTTACACAGTCACAGGGATCCAAATCAGGGAATTTAGCATCGACCCGATAAGATCCTCTGAGCCGCCACAGCCACATAGATTAGAAAACAAACCAAGCTTATCATTTCAGGTCACGGCCCATCCCGGTGGGTGGGGGTGGGGGCCAAAGCAGGAACTCCAGGCAGCTAGTCAGCTCACTTACAAGAGCAGAGTCAAACTGAGTGCACTCATGCCTAGGGCTCAGAGAGCCGTCTCCATTATTTTATAGTCCAGGACCCAAACCTAGGGGATGGTGCCGCCCGCCGTGGGCTGGGTCTTCCCACATCGATTAAGGGAATCAAGACAATTTCACAGGCCAGCCTGATCTAGACAGTCTCCCACTGAGAGTCTCTTCGCAGGAGAGTCTAGATGTGTCAAGTGGACAAAACTTACCATCAGTCTGTGTGAACATAATATTTTATTTGACTGACATGTTTATTTGTTAGATACATTTTACTTACCTAAAATATTATTCTAAACATTACTGAGAAGACCTTTTGTTTAATATCAAGTCTTAGAAATCTGGGTGGCAGCCGGGCGGTGGTGGCGCACACCTTCAATCCCAGCACTCAAGGTAGGGGCAAGTGGATTCCTGTGAGTTTGAGACCAGCCTGGTCTACATAGCCAGTTCCAGGCTAGCCACAGCTACATAGAGAGACTACAGGGTTACATAAAGGAAAAGAAAGGAGAAGAGAAGAAAAGAGGAGAGAGAGAGAGAGAGAGAGAGAGAGAGAGAGAGAGAATGGCATTTCATTGTAAGTGGACAGGAACTCTGTAAACTTCAAACTATCTCAGGTGCCTGACCACACCTAGTGTAGCAGGACACTGTGCACATGCTGGCTGGCTTTCTTTATTGTTTGGGGAACAAGGAGAAAATTTACCAGATGGGCAGTATAGGTGCAACTTGGCCCCAAATGGTTTTTTGTTGTTGTTGTTTGTTTGTTTATTCTTTTGAGACCGGGTCTCCTATCACCCAGGCTGGCCTTGAACTTGCTGTGTAGCCAAGAATGACCTTGATCTCCTGATTCTCCTGCTAAGCAGAGAACTAAGGGAATAGTCCTCACCCTGCCTCCTCCCTGCAGGTCCATGAAGCTCACCTACCATGATTCAGGGGTGTTTGAAGGCATCCCCATCTATCGCTTCACGGCCCCCAAAACTCTGTTTGCCAACGGCTCCGTCTACCCACCCAATGAGGGCTTCTGCCCGTGCCTCGAGTCCGGCATTCAGAATGTCAGCACCTGCCGGTTTGGTAAGTGTCCTGTCCGGGTTCCTTCCCCGCCTCCAGGCCGAGGTGGGAGGGTGGCACCAGGATCTTATCTGCTGCCAGCTTGCAGTCCCATTAATCTCTGGTCTCTGCACCCCCTGATGAGCTCAGGGCTGCAGATAGGGAGCCAAAGATAAGCGCGAAAGATAACGCCACCCTGATAAACGGCCCGCCAGCACTCCTTATCCACGGGCTCCTGTCGCTCCGAAGTCCGAAGGGTCCTGCCCTGAGGTTAAGATTCTGACAGGGGGCACTGTGTTCTTGGCCATGGGGAGAGGAGTCAGCCAGCCCCTCATCCCCTTCCTGCTTCTGGAGGCACCACATTCCTTGGCTCGTGGCCCCATCCTTTCCATCTGGCACCCAGTTTGAGACCAGGTCGTGCTGTATGGCCCAAGTTAGCTTCTAACTTACATCCTTCCTGTCTCTGCCTTCTGAGTACCGGGATGGTAGGCACGTACCCTGAAACCAGATTCCCCCAAAAACACCTCATTCTCTGATCTCCTCCTCTGCCCAACTCTTGAAGAGTTTTCAGGACCCCAGAGACTGACTGGATGGGAGCCACTATGGGACTAAAAGATCTGAGTGCCAGCCGATCTTCAGCCTGGTGGCTACCGCTGTAACTCCCTTGCCCACTAGGGTGTGGGTGGGACCATCCCCCGGGGGGGCATTCACCTGGCGAGGAGCAAGGGCTTGGCAGAATCAAACCGGCAACAACTCTGTTCTTATGTCAAAACTCTCCTCTTCGGCCAAGTTGGGTGTGAGTCTTGGTGCTGGCTGGCTGCTCTGGCGTCTGCTCTCGCGGCGAGTTCTAATCCTGTGCCAGACCCTGCCATGACCCCGCCTCTGTTGCTCAATTTGGATACTTGGGTGTCAGCGACATGTTGCACCCCTCACCCCTCACCTGGTGGTCAGGCCTAGGCAGCTCCACACAGGTAACCTAGGTAACCTCCCACGCAGTCTTTCTTTTTCCTACCCAGCTTGCTCACCGCCGGTCTGCTACTGTGGTCCCCTCGGCCCCATGCCAGCTCACATTGCACCAGATGTGGGTCAAATTGAAATCAAAAGCTTCATCTGTTCATAGCCTCTCGGAGGCCCTCCTGATTGTGCGTCTTCTTTGGCCCTCCAGCCATTCTCTGTCCGTTCTCTTTGTGCCTCCCTATTGCCTGCCTATGGCTACTGATGTTATTTAACCCTTCCCTGCCTGTCTCTTCCCTGGACTGCAAACCTTGTGCCCTGCCCCGCCCCCCACCTCCTACTCCTAGGACATATGGCCTCATGGTCGTTGTTCACAGCATGTTGAGACAGACACTAGAAGGCCCGAGGCAGGGTGGTGACCCGGGTCTGGTGGTTGGTGAGACACAGCCTCTCTCTGACTGGGTCTGACTTTCAGAGCCTGTTCGGGTGAAGCGTTCTCTCGTAGCCAGAGGAGTGAACTCTGGGGATACTGTCGTAGGGGTGAGAAGAAGAGAAGACGTGATAGAGCCTAGTCTGGGATTTCCCCTGGTAAGACAGCGCCTACCGGGTCACCTGCTGCTCAGAGCCATGAGACATCTGTGGCAGGTGCCAGGTGCCTGGCCTGACGGGGGAACCTGTTGGTTAGTGGGATTCAAGCTTCCAAGGCAGAGCCCTACACAGGCATGGGATCCGGGACTTTTCTGTGGGCGGGATGCTGTGTCCACAACCTAGCCCTGGTTCCCCTTAGCGCTTGATCCCAGAGCTTGCTCCAGTTGGTCCAGCTGTGACCCAGTCCCTGACACTGGCTGAGGCCGTGCTGATTGGCCACGCTGGGTCACACATAGCACAGGAGCGGTGGCGGCGACATCCCGACACCCTCTGCTGACAGGGACAGGATTTCAGACGTGCCAGAGAATCTAAGTGTACTTGTGTCTGTAGCTTGTTCTTTTGGTTTTTTGGGGGGCAAGGGGGGGTGGGCACAAGCGTGTGTGTGCAGGCACATACATGCATGGAGGCCAGAGCTGGGTATCTTCCTCAGTCACCCTCTCCTCATTTTTTTTTTTGAGGCAGATTCTCTCAGTACTCCTTGTCCCAGCAAGCTCCAGGGATTCACCTGTCTCCGCCTCCCGGTGCTGAGGTTACAGATGTGTACTGCCACATCTGGTTTTCTATGTGAGGGCTGGGGACCTGAACTCGGGTCCCTAAAGCTTGCTTTTTTTTAAAATGGGAGAACAAGAAAGGGGAGGTGGGGGCACCCAAATGAAATGAGCAGTTTGGAAACTGCGGAGGGAACTCAGCTGCCTGGCCAACCGCAACCCCACGAAGAAGAGGTGGGCCTCGCGGGACACAATGTTTCCCAGCTCCTCCAGCCCACTGCCTGACTTTCGGTCTCTAGGCTCTCCACTTGGCATCAGTCTCTACGTGGATGGAGTCATGATGTGTGTTCTTTCCCCTCGTTCCCTGATGCCCCCCACACACACCCATCACGTTGATATGTTCTATCTGCAAGATGGTGGGTGAGCTCCTGGCTCCTGGAGCTCCCTCTTGGCATTTCACAACTACGAGGGTGCTCCTAGAACATTCTTGCCCATGCTGTGAGGGTGCATCTGGGTCCACATTTCTGTGGCATTTTATCTGATGATAAAGAATGCACATAGGTTTCCCCTTCTGGGTCACGAGAACTTCGTGGACTCAGGACTCCTGTGTCTCATCTGCCTGTCTTGGGAGGGCCTCGGACCTTTCCTAGAGTGCCCCTTAATCACAGCTGGGGTAATCCTGAGCAGTTAAGTCTGGATACACGGGCCATAAAGCTATAAATTAATTATACTTATTGCCCGGGTGCGTCTCTCTGAGGGTGTTTGAAAATAAAAAATAAAATTAAAAAAAAAAAAAAGATGAAACACACCTGCTGTTAGAAGGCCACATGGGTGTGCCATCTGCAGCAGGCTGTGTTGGCAGCCATGACACTCGGTTGGAATCTGTACCTTCCAGGGCTGGTTATATGGCAGCTCCATTTCTCTGGGTTCCATGATGTCCCTCCTGTAGAAACGGGGTTCTGGTGTTTGCTGGTATCTCCCTTCACAGATTAGATGGGAAGGTGGAGACGGGGAAGGCAAGCTCGGGGTGACTTTAGAGGGTCCATGGAAGTGATATTAGACCTCAGGGACTGGCCAGGTATCTGTTTCCTGTTCTGATTTATTTTTAGTGTTGTCTTCACGAGGGCTTGAAGGCCTCTGAGGGTCCGCTGCCTCTTTCTGACAGGACCAGGTGCCTCTCTGGAACCTCCCTCGCATGTTCTAGGACTCACCTGGATTCTCAATGACTCTTGTTCTCCTCTGTAACGAGTCTTTGTCTGTCTCACCAGCCAGCTCCCAAATAAAGACACGGAGACTTATCTTATTAATTATGAAAGCTCGGCCTTAGCTTAGGCTTGTTTCTAACTAGCTCTTATAACTTAAATCAACCTATTTTTATTTATCTACATGCTACTACATGGCTCGTGGCATGTCCTGCTTCTTCCGCATCCAGCTGGTGACTTCCCCTTTCTTCTTCCCAGAGTTCTTTCAGTCCACAAGTCCTGCCTATACCTCCTGCTTAGCTATTGGCCATTTGGCATTTTATTAAACCAATCACAGTGACATATCCTTACATGGTGTAATGAAATAGCTCGCAACACTCCGCTCCTCTCTGCCCACACACATCTGGATAGGGCAGTGTGGTCTGCCACGCGAGGCTCAGGTACGGCGCTCACATCTGTCAGACATCTGGACTTGAAGATGGGCTGTGTCAGCCAGTGCCGTAAATCGTGTTGAGTTGTGACTCAGGATATCCCATAAGGAGAATCACAGGGACCATAGAATGAAGGACATTTGAGAGCCCAAAAAGACAAGGGATGGCACAAAAGATCAAAGCCCCACACTGAAAACATCCTGGCCTTATTCCCAACCCGTGCTTGGCTCTGCTAACAAAGTCACAGCAACCGTGAACCCGAGGCCACAGGCCACACATAAGCACCAATTACAGAGAAGAAGGGGTTGGGGGCTTCAGCAGGGACAGTGAGGTTTGAGGGTTCTTTTTGGAGACTAGACTGGGATGGAATTCAGCGATCTACCTGCCTTTGCCTCCCAAATAAAAGAGGATACTATCGCATCTGCCTTTCATTTTTATTTTTATTTTTTATTTGCATTAATTTGTTTGTTTGTTTGTTTATGTTTTGGGATTTTTTTTTTTTTCAAGACAGAGTTTCCCTGTGTAGCTTTGCGTCTTTCCTGGAACTCACTTGGTAGCCCAGGCTGGCCTCAAACTCACAGAGATCCACCTGCCTCTGCCTCCTGAGTGCTGGGATTAAAGGCGTGTGCCACCACCGCCCGGCAAAGGAGAGAGATGGGTTCTTTAACTTTTTTTTTTTAATTAATTTTTTTCATTGGTGTTTTGCCATGAGTGTTATCTCCTGGAATGAGAGTTACAGACAGTTTTGAGCTGCCATGTGGGTGCTGAGAATTGAACCCAGGTCCTCTGGAAGAACAGTCAGCGCTCTTAACCTCTGAGCTATCTCTCCAGCCCCCCCAAGTTTTTTGGGCTTTTTGTTTGTTTGTTTTTTTAAGA